TTTTAACCAAAACATTTGGACCACTCCTATATTTGAGTGAGTTACGTTTTTATTTTGAGAGCGATAATTTTTAGTTTTTTTTATTTGTAATTTCTGGTAGGTCCCTCTCCCCCCCCCCCCCGCCCCAAAATGAAAATTATGTCAATTGTGCAGTTGACTTCACGTCAAGAGACGAGGGATCCGTGCGGACATCTCGCACAGCAGCTCGTTAGACGACAGCCCACGGAAGCGGATATCACAGAGCCACATCCGAGATCCGTTCACGTGACCTCTGGCCGGCTCGGTAGAGGGCAGCACTTTCCCACCCCGCTCTGCCATATGAGAGTGATATTCGTCACAGCGCGACAAAAGTTTAATCGATTTTTCATCATCTCATTTCCAACAGCTGAAATATATCCAAATTAAGTGCAAAACCAACTTTGACTCGGCATTATTTTGTGTGCGTGTGCGGTCAGCGGTGGCTGTGTTGAGACCACTATCAATCAATCATCAATCAATGTTTATTTGTTCCATGGAAAGTCCAATTTTAGCCAGTTACCCAGATAGTTTCCACGGTAGATCCGTGGTAGGTCAGCACAGAACAAGAGCAATCACTCGCTCCAGCTGACAATCCAGTAATGAACACTGCGTTAGAACGCCGGATCCCAGGAGTGGCAGCTCCCCACGGTGAACTCTCACGAGCCACCTGACCACCTCAATGTTAATTTTGTTTCATAGCTTATCATTCCCGAACACGAGTTTCCTATGTATGTCGGTATGTATGTGTGTTACGCTTCTTTCGCACCGTACGTAAGCCAGCCGCGCTATTCGGCGGTGCGATCACTACCACTTTCGTAGCGATTCGCGATGGCGTGATTGCAGTTTTCCTGGAAACCGCCGCATTGTATCTACGGATAGATGGGAAAGGCAATTTCCCAGACACAGCAATAAGCGGCAGCCTATGGGCACCGTTTAAGTAAAACAACAACAGCAGCAGAAGGGCCAAATGACTGCTATAGCTCAGCTCTCCGTCGCAAACTTTCCTCTGATCTTCATACTCCCTTTGCCTGTTACTCCCCCCAATCCCAAACCCCCCCCCCCCCCCCCTTTCATTTAAACAAAATTGAAGTGGTGAATGACACTTCCCCAGGCCACAGACTTAATTGTGGAGCTGTAACTCACTCTCCCGGGACCCGTATGAGCAGAGTCTTCACCGGTCCAAGTCAACAAACCGAGAGTCGAGGCTGTTATTATCAAGGACAACCGAAGCAGAAGCTGCGGGGGAGAGGTTGGGAGAAGCACAGACGATGCCATCCGCCAGCGAGAGATTACATTTGACGTTTGCTTCTTTGACTTGGGGATTACGATGCGTCGTGTGATATTCAAAGCGTTCGCTGTGAAGCGCAGATGGAACCTGTGTGAATGGGGTGTGTGTACGTGGACACGTGCGTATGTGTGTCCGTGTATGATGTGTACGTCTGAGTGTTGTTGTGGGGAGCGATAGTGTAGCGGTTAGCGCGCTGCGCTATGAACCCGGCGACACGTGTTCGATTCCAGCTCACGGCCAACACCAGTGACGATTATCTGAACCGGTCCCGGGCCTCCCCTAGGTCGACTCAGCCTCAAATGAGTACCTGGTGCGGTGTGTAAACATTGCCACTAGGGAGACAAAGGCGGTCGGGCGTGGTGCTGGCCACCCACCCCCTCGTGTACCGTTCTGGCCTTCATAGGTGCTCGCTAACAGCACTTGCCCCTACAATCTGTTAAGGCTGTATGGGGGATCTTTGTCTTTGTGTATGTCTGAGTGGGAGCGGGAGCGGGAGCGGTAGCGCGATACGATGCGAACAACCCAGGCGGCCCGAGTTCGACTCCTGCTCACGGCGACGATTATCTGAATCGGTCCCGGGTGCTCGCCTAGGTCGACTCAGCCTCAACGATCAGTGCTTGGTGCGGTGTGGTAAACATCAGCACTGGGGAGACAAAGGCGGCCGGGCGTGGTACTGTGTCACCAACCCCCGTGTGCAACGCCGTCCGTCATAGGTGTGTACTAACAGCACTTGCCCCAACAGTCTAAGTCAATGCGGGTGATCTTTGTCTTTGCAACCTGGCAGCAGTGACTCCGTGGCTCCAAAGTCGCGGTAAGCAACGAATTCCATCTCGGGGCCTTACGGCCTCGGGTGGTGACGCTCTCCAGATGGATTGATTGGTCGAGAAACGAAACTCGTCTCCGTCTCTCTCGCGCGCGACTCTTCTGCCATCTCAAGAGGAGTTTATCGAAAGAGGCCGGTAGGGGGGGGGTAGGGAACGTGGCGGTGGGGAGGGAGGGGGGTTCAATATGATGTCTCTTTTGGTGCCCCCCCTCCATCCCCCCCCCCACACCACAAACCCCCAATGGGACGGCACCATCACTTGCAGCCCCCTCTCGTAGTTGGTCTCTAATCGCCGCCGACGAGGTGATGATGTTATTCTTAGCGGCGGCCCAAGCGGAGTGGGGGGGGGGGGGCAGGGAGAAGATTGAGCAGCGATTGCCCACAGTCGCCCATTAAACATTCATGCGAGCGGCAATTACGAGCGAGCGAGGGAGAGAGAGAGAGAAAGGCAGACGGACCGCACCTCCGACGTAGCCACGGCCGGCGACGCACGGGTGCGAATGAGGTGCAAACACACCACGTACGCGCACATTGTGACCGACCCCGGAGTGACCACCATTCCCTTCTCCAACGAGGGACAGCTCCCACGGCACTGGACATCTGTGAACAAGGAGCCTTGTAGCTCATCGCATTCCTCCCGTCTAAATGCTTATTCTGATATTTATATTTGGATGTCGGAGTATAGTACCGTACAACAGTTGATTTCGCCGCATTGCCGGGCACCACGTGTCCCCGGCAGTAGCCTCCACAGCAAACCCTTGCTTTGTGCGTGGTGGCCACGCATCCGACGACGGCTAAACCGTCTCAAATTTCCGATTTCGTCCGAGTCGCAAAAAAAACCTCTCTCGCTCCCGTGTCGCTTCTCAGCAATGTTTGTTTTCGTTTCTTTCCTCCCATCGCTTCTGTTCTGAGACGCAACGTGTGACTCCGCCTTACGCGATGAGCAGCACCTGCTGGCAGTGTGTAAACATCAGCACTGGGGGGGAGTGGGTGGTGTGGGTGGGCGATGTTTTGTCTTTGCGTGTTCGTCGTGTCTGTGTGCCAAGTATGTGAGTTCCCCTGCAGAACCTTCGCGTGCGGTGCCTCGCCACGTGACGTGCCACATCGACATCTTGCGTTCGAGATGTCGCTCCGCACATCTCGAAGCGGGTTTTCCGGGTGGAATATAAACTGTGAAAAAACATTAAGCACGCTTAAAAATGCGTGCCCATTTTGGCTGCGACGATTACGACGCTTGAGTTTGCATATCTGTCTCTCGTCGTGTGTCTCACATCCCATTGTCTATGTCCACCCAGCAGTAAACATCGGTGCGACACGGTTCGTCGATCAGCAGTTCGCGTAGTGCTTGCGGGTAAAGTGATTTGCACTCTCGCCTCTGGAGTGGGGCACTCAGTCGTGAAGCGAGCAAGATATTGCAGGGCTGCACCTTTGCCTCTATTGTTTTGGTTTGCACCTCAAGAACCTGACTGGAAGCGCATGAACATCATGTACGCGTAGCAGACGCGCGGCTCCGCAGTGGCCGACATGCAATGGGCGATGCACGCGCATTCACCGCGCATCGATTGATCGCGGGCAATGTCGAGAAATTCAGAGCGCGTTTCCTCCTCCACCACCACCACCACCGCCGCCGCCTTCCCCGTTAAGTGCTCACGATGACATCACCCGCGGAGAACACGTTTTAGTGGCCGGTCGAGTAAAAGGTGAATTATTTCATCCTCGAGAAGGATACAAAAAAAAGAATTCACGTTTTCGTCCACCGGTCGAGAAGGATTTAAAGAACAAAAACGAAACTCACGCTACCGCCATCCTGTGCACAATCGGTGGCGGAGTGTCAGGGAGACCGGGTAAACAGCGCCTAAACCGACGCCTTCAAATCGCTAAGTCGCACACCATCATTATAAACGTCAGCGCACCCAATAAGAGGGCCCCGCGTTAGGTAACATTTTCGCGGACCGAAGGAACGTGACGGGGGGAGGGTCGCGAGCATTGGCGCAGCGCTGCCGCCGCTACCCTCAGTGGCGTGTTCACGACATTATCAGCTCAGGGGGGTGCGGCAATCGGTCAGGTGGAGGCCCAAATATTATGATTTGTCTCGCACGGTCGCACCCTCGAGGCTCATACGTATCGCGGGCTCCTCTTACCGTAGCCACATCGGCGTTACGCTCACGGTCTCGAACATTTAACGCTGTGGAGGTGGGGGGGGGGGGCGTCTCCGTCTTTGAAGAAAATGCAAGCCACTACAGCTACGTATTACTTTCTTTGCAATACTGCATTACTGCTCTAATTAAATTAAATCATTCTCATAAATTTTTTTACCGCGTTTTAAAGAAGTGTTTTGTCCTATTGCACTGTTGTTGAAACATCTCATGGTTGTTGTCAAGTGGCCTTAACGCGTAGCTTTGGCTACCAAGCCACCCCCTGCCCCCACGCCAGTTCCGCTGATGGCTGCTCCTGGTGGTTGTACCCGTGGCTATGCCCCAGGGCTTTCAGAGACGAGGCATCAGGACCAACTGCTTGTGATCTCGTGTGGGCCAATAAAGAGGCCACTATTCGAGATGCAGATTCCAAGTGATTTAGACATTCAGTTGCTTGGCTTGAAAGTTGGTGCGTTGCAAATACACCCACCCGATCACTCATGCACTCACCCACCCACCCACGAACTCATTGACTCACCCACGAATTCACGCACCCACTGCCTCCACATTTATATTAGGGCCAGTGTGAAGTTGCATGATTAATGGTTGCGTTGTTCCTAAGGTTGAGTCGCGCACAGGCGAGAGAGTATGTACGTGCACTTTCCACTTGTGCGCAGGGCATCTCTGCATCTTAGTCTCTGGTGTGTGTCTTAGTCTCTGGCGTGTGTCTTTGCAGTTCGCTGGCCTCTCACTCGTGCTCGCTGTGACTCTGGCGCTGGGAGTGACGCGTGGAGACGGGACGTGCGCCATCACCAACCCCATCGCCTCGGGGTTCGCCTCCACCATCGCCGAGCTGGTGGGTCGCGTCCGGACACCATCCTCCTCCTCATCCTCCTTAATTCTGCCACTCGCGTTATGACGTCATGATGCTGGCCTCGCCTACGGATGGAGCTGACCAATGGAGCTCTGCATATGAGTCTGTGTAATGTGTGGAAAGCGATATGGGGAGCGGTGGCGCAGTGTTTAGCGCGTTGCTCAAACCAATCCCGGCGACCCGACTTCGTCTGCGTCTGCCGCTCACGAGAAATTAAAGTGGCGACTATTTGAACCGATCCTGAGCCTCCCCTATGTCGACTCAGCCGATGGGTAAACATCAGCGTTTGTTTACGTTATTATATTTGATAGGTTAAATTTAATTAGCAATATTTGGAACCCAATAACGGGAGTTCGATTCTCAGCCACAGCTAAAATGTCAGTGGCGAGCGATGTCCAATCCCAACCGCCTCTTTCACCAAACTGCACTGACCGGCGTGGTGAAGTATGGCCAAGCAACAGGGCACAACCGACACGGCATGGAGAGGCCTTCATCCGACGGTGGATCATCAAAAGGGGGGAAAATAATTGTCATTCCGATGTACTAATTCATGGTCAACACTGCTGGGTGATTTTAACGTACATACAAACCTGTGCATCAGAGCTTATCGTGGTGTTGGCAAGTTTTAAAAGCGACGATTATGCACGAAGGCAAAACCGCACGCTCAGAATAAACACACGGCAAGCCAATTGCCGTGACTCAAAACTAAATTACAGCCTGCATGGGGAAAGAATGTGTCGACAGGAACAACCCTCGGTCACGTAGATGCAATGTCTCGTGCTACTACGACGCGTGACTTGGATGCGTGCGCACGTATGTGTGCGCGTGTGTGTATGTGCGTGTGTGTGTGCGTGTGTGCGCGTGTGTGTGCGTGTGTGTATGTGCGTGTGTGTGTGTGTGCGTGTGTGCGCGTGTGTGTGTGCGTGTGTGTGTATGTGCGTGTGTGTGTGCGTGTGTGCGCGTGTGTGTGTGTGCGTGTGTGTATGTGCGTGTGTGTGTGCGTGTGTGCGCGTGTGTGTGTGTATATGCGTGTGTGTGTGCGTGTGTGCGCGTGTGTGTGTGCGCGTGTGTGTATGTGCGTGTGTGTGTGCGTGTCTGTGCGCGTGTGCGTGTGTGTGCGTGTGTGTGCGCGCGTGTGTGTGTGCGTGTGTGTGTGCGCGTGTGTGTGTGCGTGTGTGTGTGTGCGTGTTTGTGTGTACGTGTGCGTGTGTGCATGTGTGTGTGTGTGCGTGTGTGTGTGCGCGTGTGTGTGTGCTTGTGTGTTTGCGTGTCTGTGCGCGTGTGAGTGCGTGTGTGTGTGTGCGTGTGTGTTTGTGTGTGTGCGTGTGTGTGTGCATTCGATTGTTCGCGCTCGCTACGAACCACTCGGCGAACCCGAGTTCGATTCTTGCTCACGGCCAACACCAGTGACGATTATCGGAACCGGTCCTGGGCCTTCGCTAGGTCGACTCAGCCTCAACTGAGTACCTGGTGCGGTGTGTAAACATCCCCACTGGGGCATACAAAGGCGGCCGGGCGTGGTGTTGGCCACCCACCCCCTCGTGTGCTTTACCGGTCTTTATAGGTGCTCGCTAACAGCACTTGCCCCAGCAGTCTGTTCAGGCTGTACGGGGGATCTTTGTCTTTGTATTTGATGGTGGATGGGGAGTGGTGGCGCGGCGGTTAGCGCGCTGCGCTACTAACCACCCGGCGAACCCGAGTTCGATTCCCGCTCACAGCTAACATCGGTGACGACAATTACCTGAGCCGATAACACGGATACCCGATGCCGCGTGTAAAGCATCGGCACTGGGGAGACGAGGGGCGGCTCCGGCGTGATTTTCTGGCCACACCGAGCCACCGCGAACATCACTCGCTCCTACAGACCTGGAGAACGTCTATACGGGGGCTGGGGTGGGGGAGGGTTCGTAAGAGAGAAACACGCATGTAGCATGCGTGCGTGTGTGCCGTGTGAATGGATGTGGATGCGAGGGGTTGACAGGAGTGTTTGCATAGCGAGAGCCTGTGTGTTTGTGAGTGTTAGTATACACGTGGTGAGAGTGTGTACATACACGAGCGAGTTTGGATGTGAAAGCTTTTGTGTTCTGAGCTGCTGTCCAACATCACCATCATGCGGGGCAAATGCATTCCGACGCGTGCGTGCGTGCGTTTGTTTAAATCTCTGAATGTTGTTTTAAAGATCCAAGTGGAGGCATTTTGGAGGGCCGCGTTTTGCACGTTGCTATTTCTAAAAGTCTCCAAAATGTGTCATTGGGCAACTTTTACGAGGCCAGTCCATCGCGTGCTGCACGCGGATCACTCGCTGTCGCCTCTCTCGAGGACAGCGATGCTCTAAGTCTGTCGTTGCAAGTCTGGCTCCGGCTCCAGGATGAATCCCACGCCCGACGCGGGGCCACCGGGTGGTGCTCTGCTAGCAGCACTTGCCCCAACGGCCTGTGAAGGCTACACCGGGGGGGGGATCTTTGTCTTTGGGGGAGCGAGCAGCTGAACCTGGCCATGCTGGCTGCACTCATTGGCACTTGAACCTGACTCGTGCCTCCCCTAGGTCACCTCAACCTGAAACATTCATCAGCGTCGTCGTGCATAGAATAAATCAGCGGACGTAAACACGCCTCCCCCACGTACCTGTACCTCCACGTAAAATAAAAACTGAAAAGCACTTTCTTTCAATATCCCATCCGCCACACTGCATTCTGGCAGTGAATCTATTTTTCAGCTGGATCAACGTTGTTGTCACGTCAGCACTGTGGGGGAAGACAAAGGCGGCCGCGGCGTCATGCGTCGTCTATTGCCGTACCCCAGTGAATGGATGCTCGCTCCCAGCGCTTGCCGCGACGGCTGAACAGTCCAGCCAATTTGCTTGTTGGACGTGCCGCATGCTGAACTTCTTTCGCGCCGTACGTAGCCAACCGTGCTCTCATGGGATCTCGCGTCATACACGTGTGGCGCCTTTCTGGCTCAAAGCTGCCACTCAAAGCGTCACCATCACAGTTGATGCTCAAACATCAAAATTGACAATTCTATAGAATGAATGGGACAAACCAAATATGATTTTCAGCCCTTTTGTTGATGCACTGCCGGACGAAGACGTCCCCATTCCGTGTCGGCTGTGCGTGTTGCCTGACCATACTTCACCACGCCGGTCAGCGCAGTTTGGGTGAAGCAGGCGGTGGGATTGGATGTCGCTCGCCACTGACATTTGAGCTGTGGCCGAGAATCCGACTCCGGTTTATGGGGTTCATGGCGCAGTCTGCGTTTTATTTTGCGTCGTTGAGGCCCAGAAGGGGTTCAAATATTCGCCACCGTTATTACTCGTCAGGTCACCGGATTCGTAGCGAAACGCGCTAACCGCTGCGCCACCGTTCCCGGTATCGCATTACCCACACCGGGGGGGGGGGTCTGTGTGTGCGTGCGTGAGTCGCCCTGCAGTGACGCCCCTGCCGTGTGTGTGTGTGGTGCCCGCGTGCGCAGAGCAACAACCTGCCTCGAGACTACGTGGTGACGGCGCTCTCCGTCCACCCCGGCGTCATGGAGAAGGTAGCGGAGATGGAGAGTGGAGTCGACCACGGCTCACCCGCACCGCCGCCCCCCCACCGCCCCCCCGCTCCAGCCCGACTCAACCTCGACACGGTCACATACCCACCGCCTGCCCAACTTCAATTCAATTCTTGCTGAACACACACCTCAACCCCCTCTATGTAACCACATCATTACCGCATCACCACCACATTATCACCACAGCATCGTCACCACATCACCACCACCTCATTACCAAATCATCACCGCATCACCACCACATCATCACCGCATCACCATCACATCATCACCGCATCACCATCACATCATCACCGCATCACCATCACATCATCACCGCATCACCACCGCATCACCACCACATCATCACCGCATCACCACCGCATCACCATCACATCATCACCGCATCATCACCGCATCACCATCACATCATCACCGCATCACCACCGCATCGCCACCACCTCATTACCACATCATCACCGCATCACCACCACATCATCACCTGCCCAACTTCGTTCCTCATCCCTACAGCCCTACTTAACCCCGACTCGCCACCCCTCAACCCCAACTCAAGTTCGTTACACGCCCCCCCCACCCATCCTCCCACCCCACCCCGCCCCCCGCCCCCCGCCCTCCCACCCCACTGAGCCGACCCCTCCCCCCCCTTGGAATCGCACGCTGATCTCCGCGTGATCCGCAAACCCCCATCCTGTAAGGCTGTGGATTATGGGTGGGCAACCGCCATGGCCGCCGCCCCAATTTCCCTGCCCTCGGCTCCTCAGCGCTCGGGAATTGAGGAGTTGATCTGATCAGAGAGCACCCATCCCCTTGCAGCTCTCCCCTTCCCCCAGCCCGCCCCACCACGGGGTTCCACCACGAACTAGAGGCCATCCACGTGGCCCATCGCGTGGGTCTCATCGTAGCAGCGATGACGGAGGGGCAGTGGCGGTGGCGGGGGTGGGGGTGGGGGTTGGGGTGGGGGTTGGGGTGGGGGTGGGGGTTGGGGTGGGGGTTGGGGTTGGGGTTCGCTGCCACCGCCGCTCTCCCGTCTACGCGGTGCCCCCTCGGTCGCCAGCCGCCCCAGGGGTGCTCGCGACCCGCCTCTGGGGTCACCGCGATCGCGCGCGACGCGCGCCGTCCACCCTTGATTCGTATGGATCGCCTGGGCCGATGTCCGGGCTTAGGGAACGGGGGATAATGCGGCGGAGAGCAGGCTATTAGCAGCTTACGGGATTGCTTCACGAAGTTCCGCAAAAGGGATTTCGCGGGGCTTGCCGTGCCGGGCTGCTTGGCCTCCCGCCCGCGTGCCGTGCGTCAAATATGTGTGTGTCTGTCCGTCCGTTGCCTCCGTGCGTCAAATGTCTGTGCGTCCGTCCGTTGCCTCCGTGCGTCAAATGTCTGTGTGTCTGTCCGTCCGTTGCCTCCGTGCGTCAAATATCTGTGTGTCTGTCTGTCCGTTGCCTCCATGCGTCAAATATCTGTGCGTCTGTCCGTCCGTTGCCTCCGTGCATCAAATATCTGTGTGTCTGTCTGTCCGTTGCCTCCGTGCGTCAAATATCTGTGTGTCTGTTTGTCCGTTGCCTCCGTGCGTCAAATGTCTGTGTGTCTGTCTGTCCGTTGCCTCCGTGCGTCAAGAGGATGTTGGTTGCTACTTAAGGCCGACCGTTTTTGTCACGTCTGCTCATTCGCTAATCTGGCCATCTGCCACATTATGAATGGGTCTGACCGTCTGTCCTCGTCTTGAATAATCTATCAGCCTATCCATCTGTCTGTCAGTACGTCCACCCGGCAGTATGACCAGTCGATTGTCCATCAAGCATGTTCATCCTTAACCGTATATGCCTCTTGGTGGGCCAGTCTGTTCATCCGTCCATCGAACTCTCTATCCGACACTGTCCACTCATCCAAATATCGGTCTGTCAAACTTTTCGATCCACGCCTCATCTGTCCTCGCGTGCATCCACTCATTCATCACTCCGTTTCACTTGTCAGTCTATCCAACTGTCCATCCATTTGTCCGTCCTGTCCATCATCTTCCAAAGGCTCAGTCCAACTGCTCTCCCTCCAGCGACCCAGCCATATGTCCCAGTGTCCCAGCACACTCCGCATCCGTGGACTGTGGCTAATAAATTCTCATGTTCATCATCCCCGCCATCTACCCCCCCCCCCCCCATATGCCACCCACTACCCCGTCCTCGGAACCTGCAGCCGAGCCCATGTCGATTTGTCTCCGGAGCTCTCCCAGAGCTCCCCTGGAGCTCATTGTCCCCGCTGGATTTATTATTGCCCCCAACGTACCGCGTGTGAACGCAATGCATGCGCAACAATTGTAACGTCACGTGGATTTACATGACGTCTGCAGGCGCCCACACCACAGGACGCTACACGGACATAGCCTCGTCACAAGCTCATGCCCAAGAACCACCAGTTGCCCACAAGACCCATGCAACAATATATACGACAACAACAACAAACAATCCTATAAGGGCCCCCCTTGAGAGTGCGTTTTTCAGCAGCAATTGGTTCGACACACGCAAACTCTCTGGGCTGGTTTCGACATGCAGTGTCTCATAAGTAGAGCCAGGCTTGCTTGGGCCAGCGCTGGTGCACGGCCAGATTGTTCCAGGCAAGTACGACACGAGACAAATGGGAGGATGGTAGAGCCATGCATTGATCTGCAGGATCAGCGAACCCGTGATTGGTCGAAATTCAGCGCTTCGATGTTATAAAAAATAATAGTCATGCATTCCCCATTTGTCTCCTTTTTTGATGTCTCGTTCATATCGGTTCTGGTTTCCTCTGTCTCATTTGTACAGTCGTGCTTTTTTTTCATTTGCCCATTCATGGTAATACGTATTCTTTTACTCGCTATGAAAACAATATAATGGTTTTCTTATTGGCCAATCATCCCAATGCTGAAAAATGACCAGCAAATTACTCAATTGGGATTACGCCCAGAAGCAACATCGCTCCCTCCTACTGCGAACAGTTGGCAGGACCCTCCTTAAAAAAGACGCAGTGAGGCTTTTCTGAGCAAACAAGCGACGTAATGATTATTTTTAAAAAAATGATATAATCAAGATGCAGCTAGGGTTGTCACAGTATACCAGAAAGCGAAGCGAAGAACCCCCGGGGAAATCCATGCAGCACTGGGGGGAGATCATACAAACTCGAGTTGGAAATCGAACCCAGGTATTCCTTGCTGTGAGGCACGAGTGTCAGTCACCACTGCGACGCCACCTTATTATAATCAGAATTTTAGATTTGAAGCTTTCGTGACTGCAAGGATTCAAATTCTTAGGTTTTTTTCAGTAAAGTCACGTAGGTAAAAAAATAAAATTAAAATTAATAAAAGTAAAATAAAATAAAAATCACGACGTTTCGGAGGCAACACAAGCTTCCGTCTTCAGGTGGAACCGTCACAGCACGATCACTTGATACAGCAATCGTGCTGTGACGGTTTCACCTGAAGACGGAAGCTTGTGTTGCCTCCGAAACGTCGTGATTTTTATTTTATTTTTATTTTATTTTACTTTTATAAAATTTTTACCTACGTGACTTTACCGAAAAAACCTATGAATATAATCAGAATCTTCATCCATCCTGGAGGAATCCGATGAGCTATGAAGCTCTTCTTCACAGATGTCCAGTAGAGGCGGGTCATCCCCGTCCTGTGTCACCACCCTTAGACCTTACTCCTCTCCACCCCCACCCCCCCCCCCACCTGTCTGTCTGGCTTGTGCAGGACGTGTGCAGGGCGCTGAGGGCCCTGCTGGTGCTGCGGCCCACCCTGCAGAGGCTGCAGGAGAATGTGGAGGAGCGCACGCTGATCTACAACAGCACGCGCACCCTGCTCAGCAGTCTCGCCTTCTACGGATACGTGCACTTCAGCGTACGCTCGGCGGTGCATCGCTGAACATGAATATCGTCGCCATCGTCATGAATGTTATCGTCGTGATCATCATCATCACGGAGTCACCATTGGAACCTCATTTGCCAGTATAAAAATATGATAATTGTTTTTTTACCCTTTTATCTGGCAACAAAACTGACACCTTTTTAACAAGGAGTCATGTTTGCATAGACCACAATACCTACAGTCATAATGCAAACAAAAAACATAACTCTGATAATGTATGCACTGTCCTTGAAGTTGATTGGTCCATACCCGAGACAGCTTTCCTTAAAGCCTAGTCTCACATGGTGTTGGACCAGATGACGCCAAAAGGCGCACAACTCAAAGACAATGCACCATCAGAGTATGAGAGCTCGGGGTAAGCATTTACACCATTGGAACCTCATTTGCCAGTAGCAAAATATGATAATTGTTTTTTTACCCTTTAAAAAAAGTGTCAGTTTTGTTGCCAGATAAAAGGGTAAAAACCCCAATTATCATCACGGAGTCGTCATCATCGTGATGCCTCCGATCGTCACCGCGACCAATGTCATAAATGTCACCATCATCATCATCATCGTCGATCCCATCATCAGAAATGTAGCTGTCATCAGCATGACACTGGTCACCATGTTTATCAATGAAATTCATTATAAATGGCATCGTCGTCATCATCATCGACAATCATTGAGATCTACCGATCATGCCCCCTGTACTCAGCGTGAACGCACTCCAAGCATCGAACGTGGAATTGACCACCGGGCAATTGTCCGCACGGTACCCAGGGCTCTTGAATTCCCTGTCCTCAGAGATGAGGAATTCGTGGTCAATGAGAGCCTTTTACATTCGCCTGAAGACCCCACCACGTGTTTTACACGGCCTCTCTCTCTCTCGTTCTCTATCTGTGTCTCTTTAGTCTCCCTCTCTCTCCCCGGTTACCTCTCACTCATGGCCCTCACTTACATGCACGGCGCTCTGACATCCGTTCAGGGTGCCTTAGAAATATAAATAATTATTATGGTATCATTATCGTCGTCGTCACTATCATCACTGTCGGATTACTGCTGACGTTACCGGTGATGATAATCATGTTGATGATGCTCAGGATGCAGACGTTGCTGCCGATTATCGATGATGATGATGAACGCTGCTGATGTGCTCACTCACATTGTGTATGCTGTTCCTGCTATTGCTGATGCCACTGCTGCTTGTGGATGATTATAATGATCAGATATCGCCGTCGCATCTGCTGATGCTTCTGCTATCGCTACTGCATCACTGGATATCCGCTTCTGATAATGATACTAACAATTGGTGTATGTATTGTGTATTGGACTTCTTTCGCACCGTGCGTAGCCCACCGTACTAATGGGTGGTGGTCTGGATGATCCTTTAACAGTTTAACTGGTCCTGACACCACGGTGGCTGGAGTTGACGTCAATGACGACGGCGATTGATGTTGTTGACGACGATGCTGACGATAAACAAACAAACCCCCCTTTGACAACGACGACGTCCGTCACACGCGTTGCCCGCCGCCCCTCCACCCCCAGGGCTTGCCGCTGGCGTGCACGACCTCCTCCTCCATGCCTCAGCGGAGCTTCTTCTCGCGCCTGCGCTCCGACATGGAGGCGGCGTCGCGCGCGCTCGACTCGAGCTGCCCGTTCGACGACCCCGGGCGGGACGTGGCGTGCGGGCCGCCCGCGTGCCCCCCCCGCCACGGCGAGGCGGGGCGCGCCGTCGACTCCGCGGCGACGGCGAGTGACTCGGGCACAGGTTCGAGTCCCGGTCAAACGGGGACCACGACGCATCCGGTGGAACGGACCGCGGGGCGGGCGGTGCCGTCACAGGCATCGCTGCCGCCGTCGTCGTCGTCATCACCGTCGTCGTCATCATCACCATCGTCGTCGTCGTTATCATCGTCATCATCACCATCGTCGTCGTCGTCATCATCGTCATCATCACCACCGTCGTCGTCATCATCATCATCGTCATCGTCGTCGTCATCATCACCATCGTCGTCGTCGTCATCATCACCATCGTCGTCGTCGTCGTCATCGTCGTCGTCGTCATCATCAACATCATCATCGTCACCATCATCATCATCGTCGTCATCATCGTCATCATCATCATCATCGTCGTCATCATCGTCATCATCATCGTCATCATCATCATCATCGTCGTCATCATCGTCACCATCATCATCATCGTCACCATCATCATCATCGTCACCATCATCATCATCGTCATCATCATCATCATCGTCGTCATCATCGTCATCATCATCGTCATCATCAACATCATCATCGTCATCATCATCATCATCGTCGTCATCATCGTCATCATCATCATCATCGTCGTCGTCATCATCATCGGGGCCATCAACGAGCGATCTTAGCGGCGGCGACGATGATGGAGATGGCGGTGGTGACGATGACGACGACGATGACGATAATCATGGTGGTGGTGACAGCAGCAGCAGTGGCCACGTCACGACAAACTCGACGGGTTCGACGAGGGGAGCCGGAAGGCCTCACACCATGGCAAACACCACCACCACCGCCAACATCACCATCAACCCCGCGAGCAACCGGACAGACAATCAGCTGCATTCACAAGCAGCCGATGGACAGCTCCTTCAGCCAGACTTCTCCCACGACAATGACCCAACCTTGAGCCACACCGCACCGACCAAAGGACCGCACGACGGCTCTAATCACGGCCACCGCCACCGCCCTGGCCATGGCAAGGAGGTGATAAGAACAACGCAGCCGAGCGATGCCACCGGCGGCGGGAGGCGAACGGTGGTGCAGGCGGGCGTTGGTGGCCTTGGTGGCGGTGACGGCATCTCGCCAATGCGGCCCAGCTCGGCGAGCAGAACTTCTCAGATGCCGCCGACCTCCGGATGGAGGCGGCGTGAAGGAGGTGGAGGAGGTGGAGGAGGAGGAGACGAAGGGACGCTGAAAAAGAAGACGACGAAGCCGGTGCCCACTGGGTGGCCTGCGGTGGCGCCTACCACACCGCCCGCCAGGGACCCCGAGTGTCCCACCGCGTGTGAGTAGAGCCCCGGGGGGCCCTGGAGGTTTCACCGGGAGATTTGGGGAAACGCGAAGAGTGCCCAGGAAGGCGACGACGCCAAACTTGCCTCCTCCTCGTCCTCCTGCTCCTCCTCCTCCTCTTCCGCCACCTGTACCTAATGGCCCAGAAGCTTTGATTCGCACGAATCCCCCTTGCAGATGCTGCTGCCACGGCGTCGCAATGGTTTGGCACACTGGGCTTACGATCCAGAGGGTCGTCGGTTCAATTCGATCTCCAGGTGCGCCAGCTGGATTCTAAACTGTCTTAAATCTATTAAAAAAAATAGATTTATATTGCTGGTTGGACAGAGGGCGCCAGGGAAGGGGCGTGTTTTAGAAACGTGCCTCATCAATCCACGGTGGCTAGGAGATGTTAACTACCTCGCCTGGTATGCAGGAGGTCGTGGGCTCGATCTCGACCTTGACACCTGCTGTATATTTGTTCTCTCTCTCCCGTGATTTTCTCCCGGTCCTCCGGTTTCTGCTTCCACGTTCAGAATAAGCACGCGTTTAGAGCATTTGGCTGCGATAAATGTCCACATGATGATAAGCCACTTCGTTGAGCTATCATTTGTGGCGAGGTCGCTTCTGAAAAAAAGAGCTATATAGGCTCAGTGGGCCTTACCTCGTGAAATAAAAATCAAGGTTTAGTTTAACTTAGATTGGGGGCCGAACTTCGCAGCGTTCTGAAGTTATTAATTACCGGCTAGTAATCGGATAACTGGAAAATGGAAGAAAAAGTGCCCAAAGGAACGTAGAGCGATGCATGCAACTGCAATTCAGGGAGTTCGCGTTGCGTGTGAAGGCAAAGTGAGCGTGGTGGGCACGAGCAGGGCACATCGGTAGACGGGAACGGCAGCCAAACGAGAAGGGAGCGTGGATGAGAGCCGCTGATGCGCAGCCGTCGAGATGGATTGTGGCATCGCAGGATGCTGCGAGCAATGCGGGGGTAGGGTGACAATGTTGGGAAGGCTTTTATCCAGCAGTGGATTGAACATGTCTGATGATGATGATGAAGATGACCTGCAGTGCACGCACAGAGCGCGTTCATATTCTGTCTTCACACTGACTAGCGGGCATTCATGCGTGTGGCTGTTGTGCCCTCTGCTGGAACAGCCGAGGGTAACGTTCATTCATCCACAACGACACCCCCCCCTCCCCACCGTATTTGGAATCCTACCCAACAACACCACCGATTGTGGTCTTCCTGAAAAAAAAAAAACGTAACATCGTTGTGTTCTCTGGCTTTCGTGCCGATAAACCCACCAAAAGGAGCGAGCGGTGACCGTCACGAGATGGAGAATCAATTCGGACTCGACCCACAGGCGTCGGGAGAAGGGCCGCAGTGCCTCTCCCCAAACACTCCGCGCGCTCCTCCCTCGCGCCGTCAAAACGGACACCGCCTCTTTTTTTAAATGTCCCCTCCTCGCAGCTGGGATTTGGCCAAATCACTCGAGCGGGATCACCGCCGGTAGCAGTCATCGCCGCCACGTGCACGCCGGTGCCGAGACCCCCATTGCCGCACAGGGAGAGCTGCCATCAGGGGGTTCCATCATCAGGGGCCATCATCAGGGGTCATTCATAAGAGGGATCATCACCAGGGGTCCATCATCAGGGGGTCCGTCGTCAAAGGGACCATCATCAGAGGCCATCATCAGGGTTCATCATCAGGGGTCCATCATCTTGGGGTCCGTCATCAGGGTCCAATATCAGGGGTCCGTAAACAGGGTCCATCATCAGGGCGTGCGCGCATAATTGCTGCGCCAAAGACGCCGCGCTGCCACTGTTGAGAGCCGGGGTATGGATCCAGGATGCGGACAGATGTGTGATTCGATCACGCTCTGAAATATAGTGAGTCGATTGGTACCACCCAGTGATAACAATGATCAAATTCCGTTGTCAATGAAGGCCTCGTCTAAGTCCAAATATAATTTTCAGAAGGGTCCTACATTTGGATGTTAGGCCAAATCCGTTTTTATGAAGGTTTTTTTTCACGTGTTAGCGGATAAAACTGACTGCTACTCGGAGGTGACTCTCACGTTGTGGGGAATAACGCATACAGGTCCACACAGACCGATTCACTATCCCAAATGCTCCTGACAATACAGCATACATACCTCGCCTGGTATACAGGAGGTCCTGGGTTCGATCTCAACCCTGACGCCTGCTGTATATTTGGAGTCTACATGTATCTCTCCCCGTGATCACGTGGATTTTCCTCCGGGTCCTCCGGTTTTTCCCCTCCACATTTAGAATCAACATCACGCGTTTAAAGTCTTTGGCTGCTGCTATACATTTCCACACGATGATAAGTGACTTCGTTGAGCTATCATTTGTGGCCAGGCCGCTTCTGAAAAAAGAGCTCTATCGCTCAGTGGGCGTTACCTAGTAAAATGAAAATAGTGGAATAAATAGAAATTAAAATTAATTTGATGCGTATATCACGACTGTAACAATCGATTTTCATCCCCCCCAACAATAATTGGCCGTGGACAGGGGTTCATTTGCGAACAATCGTCAATGTTGCAGCCCCAACAAAAGCTGCTTTTGAGACGATTGAAACTTCAAGTTAACAAAAATATAAAAAATACATTTCCCCTGGTCATGACCACATTTTCTCCACATTGTTCACAACCGCAGATGACAACACGCTTTCCTCTCGACTGCAGCTGTTGCTTTCATAAAATATGTTAATAAAAGTGAAGAGTAAATTACGATATTTGGTTTAACACCTCGTCACAAGCGGACAGTTGTGGTGAGACGCATCTTGACCCCGCAGAAATATTTATTCATATTGGAGGAATCTGAAGAGCTGTGAAGCTCTTTTTAGCACAGATGTGCAGTTCGGGGCGGGTCAAAAGATTGCAACAACAAACAATACAAAAGCACGATAGGAGGGCAAAGTACAGGAAAGATCAGATTGTAAATGTCGTGGCTTTACTCCCCAACACAACGGCGAGCTGTCCTAGTAACGAATTGACACGTTTCGTTTACGTGACAGACCTTAAATTTCGATTTAAAGCTTTCGTGACTGCAGGGATTCATCTTCTTGGTTCTTTCGGTAAAGTCATGTAGAAGGGAAATAATAAAATAATAAAAATAAAACATAATAAAATAATTCTCACGACGTTTCGGCCACAACGCAAGCAACCGTCGTGAGAATTATTTTATTATGTTTTATTTTTATTATTGTTTTATAATTTCCCTTCTACGTGACTTTACCGAAAGAGCCAAGAAGGTGACCAACCTTACTGATTGGCTTTGTCGGGTGGTGGCGAGTTTAACCGACACTTTTTATTTACACGATCTAACCCGAAACAAAAAAACAATATTATGGATACAGTAAAACCTTGGATTGCGAGTTACTTGGTCTGCGAGTGTTTTGCAAGACGAGCAAATTTTTTAAAGAAATATTAATTTGATAAACGAGCGAGGTCTTGCAATACGAGTAGTACGTGTATACGCTTTGTCTGCCGAGCGTCACGTGATCACAACTGATATACGAGTGCTTTGGATTACAAGCACGTTTCCGGAACGAATTATGCTCGCAATCCAAGGTTTTACTGTACAGAATAGGTAATCACTTAAATTTCAACTCAACAAATATTTATTGTTTTTAAATCGTACCACGTAAAGCCCACCGGCCTATTACAGCCTCATTTTATTTTTTTCCCAGAAGCGACCCGGCCACAAATGACG